GACGAGTGTTCACTTTCACCAATGCTATTCAATACGGCACTCAAAATTTTAGCCAGAGCAATCAGGCAAAAAATAAATAAATAAATAAATAAATAAAAAGGATATGTATAAGAAAGGAAGAAGTCAAACTATCTTTATTTGCAGAAGACATGACCCTATACATGGAAGAGCCCCAAATCTCCACCAAATGCTTCCTAGAACTAATAAACAAATTCAGCCAGGTGGAAAGATACAAAACCAACACATAAAAATCAATAGCATACCTATACAACAATAATGAACCCACTGAGACAGAAATTAGAAAAACAATACCATACACAATAACATCTAGGAAAATTAAATACTTAGGAATTAACCTAGCAATGGAAGTGAATGATTTCTATAATGAAAAAAATAGATCTCTGAAAAAAGAGAAGAGAATATCAGAAAATGGAAAGTTAACCCCTGTTCCTAGATAGGCAGAACCAACATTGTCAAAATGGTCATATTCTCAAAACTGATACAGTGATACCTCAGTTCAAGAACTTAATTCTTTCCATGATTCTGGTCGGAGAATTTGTTCCGTGATTCTAGTTGCAACTGAATTGTGAGCATAATGCATCTATAGATTTAATCCAATCCATACCAACAACCTCATGGAACTAGAGAAAACAATCCTAAAGTTCATATGGAGCCAGAAGAGACCTAGAAAGCAAAAGCAATCCCGGGCAACAAGAGGTAAATGGGAAGCATCACAATCCTGGATTTCAAGTTATACTACAAAACTACAGCGGTAAAAATAGCATGACAGTGACACAAAAATAGACATATGGATCAATAAAACAGAATAGAGAATACTGAAACAACTGTAGGCATATTCTGCCATCTGATCTTTGACAAAGAATCAGAAATCATATGCTGCAAGAAAGATTGGCTTTTTAAGCAAATAGTACTGGGAAAACAGGTTATGCACATGTTGAAGATTGATGCCAGACCCATATATCTCACCATATACTAATAGAAAATAAAATGGATCAAAGATATAAATATTAAAACA